TATATATATATATATATATATATATATATATATATATATATATATGTGTGTGTGTATATAGACGTGCTGACACAACTTTGGTGCAAAGCGGAACTACTAAGCTGAAATTACTTTATAGCTGTCTGGATATTCACACTCAATCAACACCTTTACAATGTGTCAACCAATCAGCAGTGATAGTTGGCTTTGTGGAAATGATAATGTATATCAAATCAGTAAGGTTTTGCACTCTGATGCAGAAGGTCTGCACACATGTAGACATAAACAATCAATCAGTGACTGGCAAGCGCTCACAGTGAGGTACTTCCAATTATGTTGCATCTTGAGGCATCTATATAATCAAAGAAGTGTTTATCCATGATGGTGGATGTCATTAAAATGCCTTCTGTCTGCATCTCTCACTCAAAACACACACATACGCAGCCTATATAGGAAATGTACAGTCGCTCAATCCCATCTCTCTCTCTCTCTCTCTGCATTCCCCTTGTTCTCTTTCAAGTGTTCTCAAAGCTGCCTTGAATCCCTAATGATGGAAAGAAAATGAAAAATCTGGATGGTAGGGAAATGAATGTATGTTAATCATTGCTCATTTCAAATGAGAACCTCCAGAGCTCATGAAGATATAATTTCCAAATGGTATTTATGTATTGATAGACAGACATACATAGAAAGACAGACAGACAGATACATAGATAGACAGACAGACAGACAGACAGACAGAGTAGGTGATTTTCGGGCTGCTTAATGTAAACATACCTGAGATGAAGAAGGTATTCTTTATCAGATTGTGTGCATATTATTTTTATCATCTTTCAGGGTCCTGCTGACCATTGATCTGTTAATTAACACACGGATGTGAAGGCCTCTGTATTGACGGTTTGTGCTCGGTAATGAGAATACCTGCGGGACATCTAAATCAATGGAAGTCACAAGGGTCAATGCCAAGCAGTTGTTTACAGGCATCCTGTAAACAGTTGTGGACGTCCAAATTTTTCTGGAGCAGAAGGTAACGCCAAACATATAACTAATGATTTTCTTGATTTATATTGGACTCAGTTCCTCTTCACAAATTCTCTTAAATTACATTTTAAATAAAAATTGCTATTAACTATTAATTCTGTTTTGTTCAAAAACATTGAACCATGAAGTATACTATAACTAACACAATAGGATTTGTGGATAAAGATAAATGTTGTGTTAATGATTGGATATTAATGGAATTATATTAAACATCTTTATTTTAAGCTAATGCAATGTTTAAAAAATGCACACGTTAGATAGATAGACAGACAGACAGACAGACTGATAGACCGATAGATAGATAGATAGATAGATAGATAGATAGATAGATAGATAGATAGATAGATAGATAGATAGATAGATA